ACCCACAACTCCACACCCACAACCCCACACCCACAACCCCACGCCCACGCACATCCGCACACCCGCACACGCGCACAAGCGCGCAAACAAACATATAGTTTCAAACCAAACACGCCCTAAACAAATATTTACCATGAGTCGGATGGTCTCGGGTCCAGACCCAGCAACCCTCATGTACTTAGAATAGGTGTTCAGATATACCATAGCTACCATGGTGCAGAACAATTATAGCAGGGAAATCTAAAGAATAGTATTGTTAGGAATTCACGCCCCAATATTATAGAGTGCACTTAGTTGAAGCAATGGCCACCAGAATTGATATTTGGATCCGTGCCTTAGATGCCCTGGATTTCAGTGGGACTTCTGGATCAGGGCTGTTGGGTACAATCCAAGGGTCTTGCTAGATCAGGGCAGCAGGTTTACTTGTGTACAAGACGACAGCCTACGACAGTATACTATTCATATACTATAAACAATACTGCAATATACAATAATATGCTGCAACATCTACTATTCATTACGATAAAACCTACGAAACATGTGGGAGTTTCCGAAATTAGGGGTACCTTATTTGGGGTCCTAATCATAGGGATCCTACTATTTAGGGTACTATATTAGGGTCCCCTATTCTGGGAATCTCCGATGTTTCAATATGGGAACCCCGGGAGCTCGGGGCGGATCCTTGCACCCGATAAACCCGGATGCTGAAGAACATCCTAAGCAGGGTCACCTTCGGTTTCGGGTTTAGGGTTTAGGGTTTAGAGTAGTTTTAAGCCTTTTGTGGTTTAGGGTTTAGTAGGCTTCCGATCCTACACAAGGGAGTTTCCAAACATAGAGGACCCTAATATAGTACCCTGAATAGTAGGATCCTTATTATAAGGACCCCAGATAAGGTACCCCTGATTTTCGCAAACTCCCACAAGAGCCCACTTGCAGGAACAGGCGACTCAGCAAACAGAGTTAAAATCAAATCTATGCTGACCAACTGACAAAGTCACCTGATCCCCTGCCCAGACCCCCGGAAGGATCCACAAAGTAGATCCCTTAATGGGGGTTCCTGTAAAGTACCCTTAGTAGAGGGCAATAATTAGGGGATCTAGATCCTCCCGGGGGTCTGGGCAGAAGCACCGGGACCCCCTTCTGAATTCTAAAGCCCAGGGGGAGCCTCGATCCTCATCGCTGCCGTCAGCCCGCGCTGCACCGGGTAGGGAGCTGGCTCAGGCGCCTCGGGCGCCACGGCGGCCGCGGCATAGGCCGTCTTGATGCTTCTTCCTCCCAGAGAGTTTAGGGTGTAGGGCTTTAGGGGCTTGGGAGTTAGGGGTTTAAAGCTTTTGGATTGCTTTCTTGGTTCCCTCATGCACTCCCTTAGGAGCTCCCTTAATCAAGGGTTCGTTGAATTGCTCCTTCTAAGGCTCCTTTATTGGGTTTGGGGCGAAGGAATGTTTCTAACGATCGCGGGCTGACCTGAAAACTTATCTTCCCGAAAGAATGCCAAATGACTATGTTCAGGGCGCAAGCCGGAACAATGATTGCAGATCTCGTAACCCCTACATGCTACCATGTAGGTGCTAAGAACTGCTTGAAGGCCTAGTTGTCGGTGCAGGCCGTCATGCTACGGCAAGAAACAGCAGCGACACGTACTACAAGCTCCAGCGTTGCAAGCTGGAGCATGTAATTTCTCAACGATTGGCATGCAACGGCTCAAGAAGGGCAAGAACTTCATAATGTAGCAAAAAGGCGCCGCCCAGACTCTGTGCCACTTATCCAGTGTCCGGACGGCTCAGCTGCAATTGCTGCACAAGGTTCGCTGCACACTTGTGCCTGCTAAAGAATTGACTACGTCATGCAGACATTCGGAGGCCTCAAAAGGTGGGATGAAGGTAGGTAGGATGAAGGATCCCTTATTTCAGGACTCTTAATTGGGAATATCCCACCTACCTTCATCCCACCTTGGGAGCCGTTTGAGACATGACTAAGTCATGCGGGCAGTCAGTCTTTTCGCTGCGCGCCTATTCTGAGAAATCAGACAAACTAGGATACCCAGTAACCTAAGAATAAAAAGGCCTCTCTTTTTGGTATTGGGTAACTTTATAAGGAACCTACGACTACAAAAAGGGAATAAGGGTACTACTGGGCATCCTAGCAAATCTAGCCATACAGTGGAAGCCAGAACGTTGGAACATGGCTTCAGGAGGATTAGTGCTAGGATCCCTAATACTTTACCTTAAGGGTACGAGGATAATGATCTTCCAACTTTCTGGCTTCTACTATAACGGCTTGAACGTTGGGGGGGGTTTTGGGATTGCGACATTGTCCCGTCCAACGGCCATCGGGGAAGTCCCGTCCAACGGCCATCGGGGAAGAAGCTATAATGGTCATTGGAGTAACGGTCAGGATACCAACAAACATAATGGTAACAAGAGTAAGAATTGTCGTAATCGTGCTGCTGGCCCTTCTTTTTATTTTGATAGCCAGCATTTTAGCCGTCATTCTGGTAGCATTCATCATGGTATTAATTTTAGTACTAATCGTAATACTAATAGCTAATACTTGTAGTTGAAGTTGAAATAATGGTCATCATATTGCGAATAGCTCCACCATTCACAGGTTCACAGTGTCAGTAAGGTCCCAGCATCGATCGGGCCAGGCTAAAGACACCAATTTCCGCTAGTTGGCCTCCTAGTCATACAGTACATGTTTCAGCTACCGCTTAGGGTTCCAATTCCCTTCCGTTCCATAATCGCGTTCCCTTTGAGAATTCCTTTACGGGTTTATCATGCATTGCAGTGCCGATGGTGATGATAACTTACTCAAACCATGTCTGCTGTCAGTGTTGCTGGCAAATGATTAGTAATGTTCATACTGGTCGCATTAGAAGTTCAACAATCCACAACCCATTGCAAGGTCATAATGACATGACGTTCCTTCTGTGTTCGGTGACGGTAGTCAGGTTCACCCATACTGCATACGGAGATGTACTAGTCAGTCGGCGCACCTGTAAGTTGCCATACAACTGAGGCCACATTGGATTAAACATCCCAATATCATGTAGGTCTAGATGATCTAAAGACTCATATGTCATATTACATGTTAATTATGTGCGCCGTCAACAAAACCACACACTCTTACTGTGAATACTCCCCACACTACGAAGAGCACAAGCGGTGTCATCGGCGCAATCCTCCCAGAAAACAGGGCGGAAGCTGGGCTGCCACGTGAGCCACGATTCTGGATTCCAAACGCAACTGTTAGCTAAAAGACCTTGACCGTAAAGGAATGAAGTTTCAATATCGTAGATTGTCGCAGATATTTTGGCCGTGTAAACAAGTGCAATGTTGGTGTTGCGGCGCTTGTTGGAATGGAAAGCTGGATGCACTGAAGGAAGGAACCTGATTGAGAAGACCCTCGCTCTATATCCACCGAGCATTGGGATCCATGCCGAGAGCCTTACCAAGAAGAAGGAGTCTCGAAATGGTGAATACATCATTCAAAGGGGGAAAGGAGCGACCCTTAATGGGGACCCCTTGCCTATGATGGGCTATATAATGGGTATATAATAGCTTTATTAAGGGTATATACACCTAGGGGTCCTTATTAAGGGTCCCTCCTCCTTTTACCCTTGGAATCATGCAGCTGCAGCTTGAAAAGCAGAAAACACTAAGCATGCAACACCAACAGTGATAATTACAAAGCGATAGCTACCAACACCAATCGAACCAATCATAAACATCATAACTAGGTCAGTGTGCCCAAAGGGCACAGACAAGGAAACATGGCACGACGAAAGTATGGAAAGCATGAAATATAGCAAAGTAAAGTCAAACATAGCCGGAGGCAAACCTGGGTTTACAGGTACCAGCATTGTTTCCTGACTATGGGGGTTGGTATAGTCATCTTGCGTTTTTCGAAAGCTTAAGCGACAGTCTGGTATGGATTACATCGCCGAAAGGCCCACGTGGGGCGGCACAACACATTTGCAGGCATCTGCAGAATTAGGGGTAGACGCGGGCGCGCATTCGGAGACGCGAATAAGCTGTACATGACCGGCACTGTCTGCATACACAGACACACCGTTATTTACCAATGTGCGTACACTCTAACTTCTTGCACATACGTAGTGAGTGCAAACATGCATAACGTGTGTACTCGCAGTGTCTACGTACTGCGTGGCAGTATGCTGCCACTGTGCAAGAATGAGGCATAAGACCGTGTGTCGATCTCTATATGTGCGAACACGAGAAAGTAGGACAAGCACGTTAACATAGATGCACGGCCGCACCTTTAACGACCATAACGACAAACCGAACAAGGTCCAGCAACATCATAAAACAAGACAATAATGTAACTGACAGATGTAGACAGATAACACCGAAAGGAAACTTTGTTAGTAATTACAAAAACCATAAACCAACATTGCCAGCAAATGCTGAAGACAATGTACAGTTTGGGTGTCAGGGTGCGCAATAGTTTCGACACGAGGGAAACGAACACTAAGTAACCTAACACTGGCTGCTGGCTGCTGCCAGCATGCCTTCTGATATCACTATGCCAATCGCCGTCACCAACATCATGACCACCAGCATCACCATCATTCCAAACTTAAACCCTCCCCGGCACGCGTACCACACACACACACAGACAGACACACACGCACGCACGCACGCACACGCACGCACACGCACGCACACCGGTGCGCAGACGCACACGCACACGTACACGCGCGCACGCACACACACACACACACACACACACACACACCCGGACACGATTGTTCTTGACCTACAGTGACTATTCATTCGCCGCTCGAACCGTTCAACATTCTTCTGAGGCTCACGTGGAAATGACATGCATAAATAGCCTCGGACGGTTTACTCACGTCTCATAAAGCTCTTCCTTTCCCTGGCCGTGCATCTGTCCACCCATAGCTGGATGCTTTACGGTGATACTCAAACATACTGAAAAATCACGTTCGAACACTCGCTGGTCTTCCATGTGCCAGCTCACTGTCCTGCCAAAGCCTGGAGGAAGTGATTCCATTGCCGGAGGAGGTCTGTCTTCCTCTCTGGAGGAAGCGCAAGGACACGAGCCAAAGCAAAAGATCCTCCAGTGACGAGGACAGGAATCAGCTTGACCAGCAAGGAGATTGAAATTGGCGTGCCGCACACATACGTGCCAACTTCACTCTGTCCCATGTAAGCGACAAAAAGATGCTGGCGGTGACGCTGCTGCCACGTCAGCGCCCACTGAAGACTGTTCACGCTGACTATAGCACTGTCCTTCTGTTGGCTCACGACGGCAGCTCGATGCAGAACATGCACAGCGAGACAACAGTTGGCGAGGTTCACGATCAGATGGGGCAGCAACCAGTCGTCATTGTCCTGAAGACCCATCAAAACCTCCGCTAGAAGCGGAAACATGCCAAGAAATGCAAAGGTTGACAGATGGAGATACACCGCACCAATCCAGTGGGAGATCTCACCAGCAAAGGCGGAAATGGATGCCCACCTCTAGCTGCATGATATACATTTATGCATACCCGATCATCGAGTATTGACAAAGCAGAAGTATTGTACGGACATACCTAGACCCCCCAAAAGTAGTTGAAATAATGGCCCAAAGTCTCCAAAAGGCTATTATTCTACATACCTTTGGGGCCCAGGTAGGGGCTTTAAAGATAGACTGGGAGTCAGAGCGGCTTTGACAAGGTTGTTCAGTCACCCGCTGGAAAAAAGCAACGAGTCTATGCTTTACTTTAGGTACGGCCCCCATACAGTAAGAGTCTATAATAGGGCTACTATTAAGGTCCTACTATATCTATATTATGAATATTATTCAACTATTACTGAGTGGGGGCCGTACCTAAGCTTTACTGTACTTTGGTCAAGGAGAACCCCAAAATACAACAACAACAAAAAGAATGCCACTGAGCAACCTAGATGTGTTGAGTTAAGGCGCTGTTCGTATGCTGATTGAAAGTCGAACGATTGCTGTGCATAGGAAACAACAAAGCCATCAAGCAAGATCCTGGGCTGCTCTTCTTTAGGGTTTAGGGCTGAGGGTGCAGGGTTCAGGGTTTTAGGGTTCAGGATCTGCGGTTAAGGGTTAAGGCCCATGGCTTTGGTCTTGCACAGTTCAGGTTGAAGTAAGGCTTTCGGGCTAAGAGAATTCGGGGCCGGGACCACGGTCAGAGAGCTTAGGGCTCAGGGGCTCAGGAGTTGCAGCTGTTGTCAGTTGTTCCTTCGAATCCGAAGTGCTGAAATTGAACGCCTTTTCAATGTTTATAGGCAAGGATCGTCATGGAGCGGCTTAGCCGAAGCAGCACGAAGGCCCAGGCCACGCGTTGGATGGCTGAGCTGACCGGATATGAGTGGGAGACTGACCCCGTGTGAACTTTGCTAAGAACCACGAAGCACATTAGACATATGATAAGATAGACACAGATCGGTAGCAGGTCCAACTTCAAGGAGGCCTGTAGTCTCGAGTCCAGTGTCTTTTGCATTTCTGGGAGCTTCCGTTGCATGAGCTCGCGGAAAGGATCGGAACTGCACACCGTTGCTAGCAGCAAGAAGAACGCGACAGCCTCCATGGCATAGACGGTGTGACTCCACTTCTCGTAGCCGGTGGTCATGTAGGACCTGTAGCCGCACAGCACACAAAAGGCCGCAGACAGCAGCTTGGCACTGATTCGCAACACCTTTGTCCAATGACCTGCGCATCCTGCTGGGACAAGCCCGAGCGGTAGGTGTAGCAGAGTAGTTGCAAGAGACATCAAGCGAGCCAGAGCAAAAGAAGATTTGCTGTCGCGCTCCTGGGAGTCTTCCGGCACAGAGATCGTCGGCAGCACAGGATTCGCAACCAGGTCCCTGTTTGAGATACGCCGAAATTGCTTGATGGACTGGCAACTATTCACTGCATCCGGGGGTGCGCCTCGCCGCGGAGTTGGCATCGGCATCACGGAATCACGAGATCCTGGGGACGATAGCTCCTGGGACTCGACATTCCCAAGGTACTCCTCTGACTCGCTGTCCGAAGACTGTCGTGGAACGGATCCGACGCCATAGCTAACAGGTCGAGGCCCTTGTGGTATCTCCGAAGGCAACGGGCAAGGACTGTCTACAGGCCCCGCCACCCACGCATCGTGCTCCTCAGCCGGTGCTGGGACCACTGCGACTGCAGGCTTCATGAAGCTGGAAACCCTCGGACCTTGCAAGGCCTCCTAAAGGCCTGGTTAAAATGGTTCCTCGGTTCCTGAGCCTGCTACGAGCCACCTGTGGCTGCGAGCGGTACCGCAACATCTGACTTCGAAGCTGAGTTGTATTCTTCCACCCGTACAAGGCTTTATCCTACTAAGCAACAAAGGAGGAACAGGTAGGGCCGACTACCAAAGGAGCTTCCAGTGCTCAAGACATTGAGCCTTGGGCTGTAACGATGCAGGGTGTGGTAATAAAAAAAACCCCAGACCTTCCAAGATCCCTTAATTAAGGAATATACCTTAAATCATATTAGGGATCCTATTATAATTTAAGGTACATTCCTTAATTAAGGGATTTTGGAAGGTCTGGGCCATGTAGATGGCTTGCAATCTGGTTCCTTCACCCTGTTAGTCCCCAATCTCAAAACCTGCAAAGCCCTACATTCCTCAGATCCCAAGCCTAGATTTTTGGGCCACGGTTTAGGGTTTAGGGTTTAGGGTTTAGGGTTTAGGGTTTAGGGTTTAGGGTTTAATTTTTGGGGGGTTAATCCGAAAGGGCAAACCCTAAACCAGAAATACGAAACGCTTTACCCTAAACCCTTGCTTTGACATTGCGTCCTAGGCGGCCGGAGAATGCCCGCGATGCTACAGTATCTTCAGGCCTTCAGTGTGGGTTTCAGGAAAACTCGGGCTTTGAGGTTTGGGTTTCAGGTTTCAAGGGTGTTTGGGTGGGTTTAGGGTTTAGGGGTCCTCATGACAAGATAAGTGTCTGAGGTGTTGTTTGGGGCTTGAGCGTAGACTCTCATTTTCGTGAAACTTGCAAGGCCCAGACCTTCCAAAATCCCTTAATTAAGGAATATACCTTAAACTATAATAGGATCCCTAATATGATTTAAGGTATATTCCTTAATTAAGGGATTTTGGAAGGTCTGGGGGGACAGCAGGCTGGGGCTCAGGGGGGATTTTTTGTTAAGCCTTAGGGGGCTCAGAGTTCGGATCTAGGAATCTACCTTAAACTACGATAACCTGCTTTTTTCTGTAGGTTCTTACTATCATATAGGAGTTACAGGGACCCTACAACAAATTTGGTTTTGTAGGATAAGGTAGGGTTCTAGTGGCCCGGACGATGATCTTTGCAAAAGGGCCCCAGGCTATTTTTGAAAACTGCGTCTGTAATCATGCGCGCATGTGCGGTAATGAAGGGCGTAATCATTAGAATTGGGTTCTGGGGTCTATTGGAATATAGTTACGTCACGGAGGTCGAAAGTGAACACAACAGGTCACCGGCAATTCTGAAGACATTGGCTACAAAGCTTTGTGGTAGAAGCCAGAAAGTCGGAACATTACATCGGATGTAATGTTCCGTTCCCTTTCTGGGTTTCTTCCATACCGCTCCCATAGCTCTCCCATACTGCTTCTATAGGACTATGCTTTACCTATCCTTATGGGAGTGATATGGGAGATATTTTGAAGCCGTTGGCAGAACTCCGTTCTACGATGGTAGGTCGCCTATGGAAGTTGATGGGCCTGCGAGGGTTCTCGTTCCGGACTCGCATGTAAGACGATGGGCTTGTTGCAGGGCTCGTATGTAAGATGAGAAGCTGGCTTCACATAGCTCTCTGATAGCTCTCCCATGGCTCTCCCATGGCTCTCCCATGGCTCTCCCATGGCTCTCCCATAGCTCTCCCATGGCTCTCCCATGGCTCTCCCATAGCTCTCCCATAGCTCTCCCATAGCTCTCCCATAGCTCTCCCATGGCTCTCCCATAGCTCTCCCATGGCTCTCCCATGGCTCTCCCATAGCTCTCCCATAGCTCTCCCATGGCTCTCCGATGGCTCTCCCATGGCTCTTCCATGGCTCTCCTCTTTTCTCTCCCCCATAAGAAAAAGTATCAAACGCATGACGAGATAATGGACGCTCAGCAACGGAAGAGCTAATTGCCCGAATCTCCCATAAGAACCAGCCCACCTCCCATAAAGGGAGTACCTGATTTGGAGGTTCCAGAAAGATGCCCCGACATCCAGAGCAATCCTAGCACTAATCCTCCTAAATCCATGTTGCAACTCTGTTGAAGACGCTATCTACAGTAGTGTGTATGAGTTTGTACAGGCTTTTACGGGGTTCCAGGGGGTGTATAGGGTGGATCTTTTTGGTATTGGGTAACTTTATAAGGAACCTAGGACTACAAAAAGGGAATAAGGGTACTACTGGGCATCCTAGCCAATATAAGTGTTTTGGTTGCGGACATCCTGTGACCAGCATGGCCTGACCAGTGCCAGTCCAAAATGGTTCCCAGAGACCAAGACTGCAAAACCCCTTGTTCAAGGAATATACCTTTTTTTTCGCGTACAGTGTGAGGTGATTCCTTGCTTCGGGGCTTTTGGAGTCTCTGCGTTTTCCTACAGGCGCATCGGCTGATTCCGCTTTGGGATGCATGCCTCCGCTGAACCAACTGGGGCTTAGGGTTTTAGAGTTTAGGAGCCTGGGGTTGACCTATAGCCTCCATTGTAGTTCCTTTTCTTGGTTGAGGGTTTAAGGTTTTGGGTATAGGGCTATAGGATCCTAACCATAAAACTGGTTAATCAAAAAAAGAACTACAATGGAGATTATGGGTAGGGTTTGTGCACGATCGAACAGGTCGTGCTTCGATTGATAGCTCCCCAACCGCTGACATCCTTAACCTCATCAAAACCAAGAAACCCCGTACCCAAAAGCCCGAAAGTAGTTCCTTTTTGGGGTTCATATATAGAATCCTATAAGGTAATCCCCAAAAGGAACTACTTTGGGGCCTCTGGGTAAACACTATAAGCCCTAGGCCCAGTCAAATCTAAACCGATTCCTCCGACAGTGCCGCAAACTTATGAAAGCAGAGAAGAGCAGGAACCAAGCTCGAGGGTTTCGGGTTTAGGGGTTCAATGACCAAGAGCATCAAAACACAGTAAACGTGTTAAACCCCGCACCACCGCCACCACTTGCAACACCAAAACGTAAAGCCTAGACCACCCCTCCCGAAAACGCACACTGTACGGAAGTTTAAGCCGCGGTATGCCCTCAAACCCCCTAAGTCCTAAACCCTATGAGCCGCACCATGTTCCCCAGTACCTATAGTCTCCATTGTAGTTCCTTTTAATAGAGATCTTGGATAACCACAAAAAGGAACTACAATGGAGACTATAGGTGGCCCTTTAAAAAACGTGCTCAGGAACCAAGCGTACCCATCAGCCACGGAGCTGGCAGGAGCCTAATGCATCAGCCCAAACACGCGGAATGCCGGCCTCGTGCGACTGGCTTCGGATTCAGGGTCTACATGGTCTACCTGCTTAGGGTTTATGGTTTAGGGTCAGTTTAGGGGCTTAGAAGTTTAGGGGCTTTGGGTCTAGGGTTTAGGGGTTTAGGGTTGTTGTCAAAGTAGTGCGAAAAAAAGGTCCCCCAAAACCCTACCGTCTCGAGAGCTGTACCCGAAAGTTAAGAGGTCAGAACCTACTATTTGTAGGGTTTGGAGCTACAGGTAGGGTTTATCTAGGGTTGATGGAAGGAGGGGAGGGGAGAAGAGAAAAGAACACATGAGGGTTTAGGGTAGGGGAGGGGAGGGACAGGGAGGGAAGAGAGGGAGCCTGCAGCTCAACAGCAGCCCCATGACCACTGCACACTTAAGTCCAACAAGCAGCTTCCGACCCTACAACCCAAACGCTGCATGCCAGCCACAATGAAACCCCCACACCCTATGCCCAAACCCTAAGCCCCACTTAAAACAACCTCTTGAAACGCCAGTCTACAATAGATTCACTCTAAAAACGCGCACCTGCAAAAACCCCAAAAACTCACCGAACACGCAAAAACCCTCTGCTTTGTGCCTCGGGTGTTCTCAGCAGACCGGTGCCGACCTGGACCTTCGGGAATGTTTTCGGTTTAGGGTTTAGGGTTTAGGGTTTAGGGTTTAGGGTTTAGGGTTTAGGGTTTAGGTGTTTTTTTGGTTTACTTTAGTCTTTTTTAAGGGTTTAGGGCTTATAGGGTTCAGCAGGAGCCAGCAAGGGCCCTTGAATGGAGCCTTAGGGTTCTTCATAGTGGGTAATGATTTAGGGTCTCATGTAGTTGAAAGCTATGGTCCTGGGGCTTCGAGCTTAATTATGGGGTTAGGGTCTTTTTACGATTTGGTCTAAAACCCCTCAAGCCTCACTGTAGCCCTTGCAGAACCCTTCTAGCCGCTAAACCCGAGACCCTGAACCCGAAAACCTGAACACGAAACTGTAAGCTAGGGCGATCCAGGCGCTGCTGAAGCTCCCAAAGTGAAAGCCGCAGCCGCCCCTCGCGCATCCGCGATGCCACCGGTTGCGATGACTGGTACCTTTGGGTTGGGTTTTGTCAGGCTTCTGGTTAAGATTAATGGTTCTCAGCCACCTCAGTGGAATAGAACGATGCAGCTGGGTGCGAAACAAGTGGCTTTCCATACTTCGTTTGGGCGTCCAGGGCCTAATGTACGGGCCTTAACAAATAGAATAGGGTTTTGGGCTTCCTGCTTGTGGTTACAATATACCCCAATTAAGGCCTCTACATTAAGTTCTACTGGCCTGGCATGGAAAGGACTCACTTTTATGTATTTAGGGGCGTGCATTACGGGCCGAAGTGTTTGCAGAACTCTTTTTGCATGCGAAGCAGAAGGGTTTAGGGTTTAACTGCTGATCAGTCCCCCCCAAACGAGTTTCTTCCGAGCTCTTTGTCTACGAGGCACAGGGTCTCCGACAGGTTCATCCTTCAAGGTTGTCTACTCAGAAGCTCACGGTAATGCAGAAATCTGTCCCGCGGATCCCGGGACTTTCCTCCAAGACGACCTAAAACCCTAAAGCCCTTGACCCCCTCCCCGAGAGCATCTACACCCTGATCCCTAATCCTGAACTCAAAAGAACCCGTGCAAGACCCCTGAAAAGAGTGATCCACAAGTCCGAATATGGGAGCCTTAATAATTAGAACCGGGTTTTTGGGGCCCGTTATACTATACTCAAAATACGGATCCCCCCCACAATAAGAATGGTAATTCTGAAGGCCCCTATCTTAAATTCAGAGAGATGCCCGCACAGCATCCACGATCGCCGGGAGAAGGGAGAACAAGCCCACGAGATCCTCTGGCGTGGGCATCTTCCGCATCCTTGTAAAAAAAAACAATACTAGGATACCCAGTAACCTAAGAATAAAAAGGCCTCTCTTTTTGGTATTGGGTAACTTTATAAGGAACCTAGGACTACAAAAAGGGAATAAGGGTACTACTGGGCATCCTAGAATACTACAAGGGCCTTGACAATTAGAATAAGGTTCCTTTAAAGAGGTCTATAAGGGTTACTATAAGGGATAAGGGGCCTTAATAACTAGAATAGGGTGTTGGGCCCACTACGATATTATTAGTACAGTAAGGAACCACCCAAAAAATAGTGTAGGTAATTATTTAGGCCCCTACATTACGTCATATACCATATAGCAGTAGACCGCATCCAAAACAATTTCGAAAAAAGAACCGTAACCTCTACAACCCTCAACCCAAACCCCGAACGCCTAAACCTTAGGATAGCCTTTCCAAAATATAAGGAATCCTAAGAATAGCAATTACTCATGATGAGCTCTCCGACTTCACGGATCATAGGATTTAGGTATAGTTACATAAGGTAACTATCTTTCTGGTCCTGCTACTTACATTCCTAGTTCAGGTACGTAAAACTTCACTAAGTCACCTGATCCTCCACGCAGCGAAACCCTTGTATCACTCTGTGGATTTATTAAACCTTCCAGAACCCCAATATATGGGCTTCAATAATTAGAACAGAATCTGAGTGGCTGGACGCGCACTAAACCCTAAGCCTGAAATACCACGGTCCCGGGCTGCATCTTCCGCTTTGAATGCGCCGCGATGGCCCCCAGCTTCCTTCAGCAGAGTTTGGCTTTTTGTTTTTGCTTTAGGGCTTCGGGTTTAAGGTGTGGGGTTTAGGGTACGTCTTGGGTCCAAGGTCTAGAGGTTTGGGCCTTGCTAAGAAGGTTAAGGTTGAGGGTTTAGGGCTTCGGGTTTCGAATTCGCTAACTTGGAGGATTAAAGGGCTCAGTAGGTCAGGGCTACAAGTAGTTCTAAAGCTCTTGTTACCGTATTTAGAAGCCTATATAAGTACCAGGTCCCACGATCCTGTAAGCAAGGTTTGCTGGAGAGTTCCTTCAAAGGTATCCTTCAGAAGGTCACTCCAATCCCCTAAGAAGGAAAGCGGACAAATGTTTTGTACATCCTTATTTTGTACATCCCAATAAAGAAGTTTGGCCTCAAAAAAAGCAAAGAAAAATTGAAAGACACAACAACATCATCAAGGCCTTTATCGTCTAGAGGGTAATGACTTATATACGTCCGAGCAAGGCCCTCATCATAGAGATGGTACTATAGGGGCGTTGATAATATTAACAGGTTTGGGGGTGTACTATAAAATACTCATAGTAAAGAACCCCCACAACACTATTGGTAATTATATAAGCCTCTATATCAATAAGTTGAGTGTGGGGTCTGCAGACCTCGAATCGGGGGCTTTGAGGGTCCAAGGCGTGCAGATTGGGGATTTAGATTGGAAACAAGTTTGGCATGTTCGGTCACAACTCTAAGCTTGAGGGTTTTCTTGGTAGAAGTAGCATAAATCAAATAGTTCGAGTAGTATGAGTAGTAGTATCAGTAGTAGTATGAGTAGTAGTATCAGTAGTAGTATCGGTAGTAACAGTGGTAGTAGTAGTAGTCGTCGTCGTGGTGGTGGTAGTAGTATAGTGGTAGTAGTACGCATTCATAGTCCTTGTGTAGTTATACCAGACTAGACTAAAATTGCAAAGGCGCCCATATTTGACGTGCTGTCCCGCGCTACGAACAACGGGCCAACAAAATTTCCCTCTCGTCAACCTCTACATAACCCTTATGGAATCCCTTATAGAGCCCTTATCGTCACCCTTAAGGACGGCCAAGCTTCCATACCCTGTGCCACGATGGCATCGGCTCCGGCCGCTTCTGCAGCGAGCGCCTCGCGGACCGTGGTTGCCACCGCGAACCACTTGATGCCGTTGGCCTCCGGGAGTTAGGCCTAGGGTTTATGGGTGCGATTGAGGAAACAATCGTCTTGGGAATATAGGGACCAGAAGGGGGTATCAGTGCTTGTTATTTCCATGACTGACCTCATGCAGGAACTATCATAACTTGAACAGGCCTTCAAGGATAGTACAGCATAGCATCGTATAGTGTAGTGTTGTAGAGCAGAGTCTAATTATATCTGGACTGCAATTTGGTACTGTTGCAAAGTGGTTAGACCCCTATACTTGGGGGATGATAATCATCAGCATAGTTACCTTAATAGTAACCCTCGTCACTAAGTCCCATGATCCTGCAAGTCGTACAGGGTTTACTCAACCCTAAGCGCCAAACCAGCCTCAAATCCCCGGTCCGACTCTGCAGTTAAGCTTTTCCTTCACAACATGTACCGTGATGTAGGAATATGTGTATATATATATATATGTATATGTGTGTATATATATATATATGGATATAGGCGCCACAAGAATCAGTTAGGGTGTTCGAGTACCTGATACTGTTTAGCAGTTGTAATCAGAACTACAAGGGGATGCGATTATGTAGTCGATGTCTGCGGTTTCTGTCAAGCCTGCATAGTGCTTCGGCAACTGAAGCGTGAACCCCACGAGCCAAGCCTTCATTTGCTCGACATGCTTGGCTGAGTAGAGGCCCATGATGGAGGAAATGATGGCCGGACGGGCCTGTCACAGTGGAGGCCGAAAGTGCTTGCAGACCTCGCTCCTGAACCGTAAATCCGAACAGAGACGAAAGCAGGCATGCAGACATGTCCTTGAATCGCCTGACAAGTGACAAACTCCCTCACTCAGACTCAAGCAACTCTTGGGTGATGGACTGCACTGCTCCGGAGTAGAACAGCGCAAATAATGGGTCTGAATGTCGAGAAAAGGATAGAATAGAGTTTGGGTGTTATCATCTAGTAGACATTCGGATAGAGATGGCACCGTAATGGGATCTTCTGCAATTTCTATTCGTCCCGGCCCCTAAACACAAAACCCCATCCAGGGTTTACGGAAACTCACATAAGCCACAGCAACAATTCCTAGTACTTGCAACTTACTTCCCAAGTAAATGCTATTGGCAGAAAGGACAAACTGGTTCCAAGGAGAGCGCTGCGTTTGTAATTTCCAGTATTAGCAAAACACCTAGGACTCTCTGGGAAAACCAAAATGCTGCACCGAACCGTAAATGCCCTTACCTGGCGTTCACTGAACCGAATTCCTTCCAAAATCCTCGTCGACTCCCCATAAATCCCCTCTACAGACCCCTTGAACGACAGCCTTATAGACACCCATCAAGGAACCCTAAGCCCTGAACCCTGGAGTCCCGCTGAAGAATTGAAAATCCCAGAACCGCATGGCTAGCGCAGGGCCTCAATTAATAGTTGACGGTTACTTAGAGGATCATGGGACTTAGTAAGTAGGTTATAATTGGGGTTATAAGTCCCCTAAGTGGGGTTATCCTAATTATAACCTACTTATAACCTTACTTACTAAGTCCCATGAGCCTTTAAGTAAGGTTTAGGGTGTAAGGTTTAGGGTTTAGGGGTTGGACCAGGGTTTTCGGGTAGGAAGCAAAATGGCGACACCACCCCACCTACCTTCTTCGGGCGGCGTGGCACACTGAAAGCCAGTGTGGCCTTTTTGCTTGGCCGGTCGCGTGAAACCACCACACTCAGCCTTTGCCATGGAAGCCTCCTGCAGACAAACGACTTGACGAGAGTGCTGTCCAGCATCCAGGGCTGTCATCCACTTGAAAGGTCAGCACATCTATGCCTGAGCACTGAGCTGCCTGCTAAGTGCAGTCAATGGAATGTCTGTCATAGAACTGGTGTCGGAGTTTCCGAAAATAGGGGACCCTAATGTAGTACCCTAATTCTAGGATCCTTATTTAAAGGGCCCCAAAAGAAGGTACCCCAATTTTCGGAAACCCCCGTGTATGCCCAGGAGGCGGGTCGCTCGGCTTCGCACGAGGCTTCGGTTGCCCTGAGGCCCTGGTTTTTCGCCTCTGCGATCCGGTAGTAGACCCGGCTGGGCGAAGCAAGAAAGGCGCTCGTTCACCACTTCTTCAAGCAAACCTGTGGCTTGAAGGAACAGCTTTTTATGCTGAGAATGTTCCTAACAAAGGCGGCTCCACCACGCAGTCTGCATGCGCTTCGCAGTCAGGTCGTTGCTGGTTCTAGCGAGCCTCTCCTTGCAGGGGGACCTTGAGAGAGTCATTAGGGTATTCATTCAGGCTTCTACATTGACCGCCGATCGGGATCCTTACTCTCAAGGGCGGGGCGCAGTCTCAGCAGCAGGTCGACTTTCCACAGAGCCAAACACCCGCTAACCTAGAAAAGCTTCTGAGCTTATGAGCGCGAAACTAGAATCCATAGGGACTCCACTCAAAAAAAGTAGGTTACGGTAACCTAAACCCTAAAAACTCGGATTTACTTTCACGCACTCAACACAAAAGTAGGCTATGAAAGCTTAAGGTACGTATACTTCTCAGTTCAGAAGTCGTGACTGCGAGGAGGGTAGATCAAGCCATTTACTGGGTTATTTCAAGGATCATGGTTGGGGGGTTCCTGTACTTCAAGTACTACGATACTATTCTACAATTTACGGCGCATTCCCTATATAAGTAACGTGCGGAGTCTCCGCGTTCCTGGATCATTGCAGCCATCTGCGCTTCGAAGTCCACCAGCCGGGCATCTCCGGCATCCGCGGGCACCTGTCTTCGATACTCAGCAGATCGCAAAACCCCGTAAGTACCTAGACCCCAAAAAGTAGGTAAAATAATGGCCCAAAGTCTCTAGAAGGCTTTATTCTACATACTCTTGGGGTCCAGGTAGGGTTTATGGAGGCTCCTTTCAGGATTCTTCGTTGAGGTTTGTAAGACATCGATCAAGCTTCTTTGCGTTGTGCAGGTATACTTCTATGGACTCACTGAGCGGGGTTACAAGTAAGTTAACCATAGTCCACGTTTCTTATAACTCCATTTAATCAACATAAATATTCTTGCTAAGTCCTATGACCCTTCAAGCAGAGAGTGCAAGTTCGAGAGCCTAAGTTCATCCTGAGCAGAAATCTCGTGAGAGACAGACTTTGAAGGTGTTAGTGTGCAGGGATCGTAGGTCGTAGGGTGTTAAAACCCGAACCCTCAAGTCTGACGGTGTTGGGTATCTGAATCCGCAAGTTTGGATACTTTGCTTACCTTTGGTTAGTAGGGAATGGAGAATGGGGTACACTTATAACTCCTATTACTACCATTCTTCCATTCCCGAACCAAAGGTAAGTTTGGGCGGCTCCGTGGCTTAGGGCGTGCGTGAGGTTCTTTGGGACTCTGCCTTAACACACGGGAAGCCCTCGGCTCTACCTGCAGCGATGTATGCCCCAGAATATTGAGGGGATTCAAGCCGGCGGGACGAAAATCTGCCATAGCTCTAAATTCGGGTTTAGGGTTTATAGTTAGGGTTTAGGGAGGGTTTATAGTTAGGGTTTAGGGTTTGGTAAGGGGTAGGCCTGAGGGGATGGGGTTTATCATTACATCGGAATCATTTTGCAAGGTACTGTAGTCTGCTTGCTGCTCTGTACGCCTCAATGAACCTTGCACGATTCAGGCACCGTCCGTTGCAAGCTCATGGGGCTCCCAGTATAATTATACTTTGAGGTTGACCACTCAATCAAGGGCTCAGGGCTATTGGGTACTATGGCCACACGTACCTCAAAACCTACAAAAGAAAGTTATGCTCACCGCTTATCCCGCCCCTTCCAGAGAAGCGTGCATATACATTGTATTGTGGTTTTGGCTGTGCCAAGACGAGGACTGCGACTAGGACTAACACAGCAAGCAATTAGGGAAGACAACTAGTACTGGACCTATTGCAGAAGCGCTGCCACCACACAGACTTAAATGACCCTGAAGCCTAAACCTATGAAGCTGGACCTTCAGCATCATGACTTACCAAGAGTCAGCCGTCCGCCCCTTACAGACCCGAGACCTCAAGAGCCATCTAGCGCAACCCTACAACACCATAGGTTTGGGGTATACGGCTCCGGGTTTACGCTATAGGCTCTGTAGGCCCATGCAGTGGCCTCCGGCCCCCAACCCGCAAGGAAGTCACGGACCCGTCGCTCCTCTCAAGAGGACTCTGTAAGATGGCTTATACGCTTTGCCAGGGTGTTGAGAAGAGTCTCTTACGAGGGTCCTTGCCGAGCTTTAAAGGATGCCTTGTAAAGGCGGAGGCCGTTTGGGGAACAAGGACTCATGAGGGTTCAGCGCTTCGGAAGTATGTGTGTGTTAGGATTCTGGGTATATGCTGCTTATGAGGATTTCGTGTGTCGAGCGTTGCTTCCCAGCATGCCAGTACCTGAGGGTTTCAACTATAAGCGAGGGTCCAAGACTGGTGAGGGGCCGTCAGGCATACCCGAGGGCTCAAGGCTTGAGAGCCGTAGGATGTAGGGGTACAACAATTAATCAAACCCCTGAAACGCCTACACTCGAAAGGGCTTGGTGTATCCTCGCTTGCCACATTCGGCGAGGTTGGCCTAGGAGTATCCATAGTGGTTCGGTTTAGGATATAGGGTGTACCAGTCACCATGTGCGGATCCAAACACAACAGCAAGCCAGGTTATGAGTCTGGGGGATAAACTTAACCAGTAGTTCTTGGGAGCCACAGATAGATGTTGGCGGCCATGCAAGTTTGATTTAGAAGACTTCACCAATCCGAGGCCTGTCCCGAACGCCATGTCCTCCACCTTCCCTTGAACCTCCCAGACCTTAATTAAGGAATATACCTTAAATCATATTAGGGATCCTATTATAATTTAAAGTATATTCCTTAAATTGAAGGATTTTGGAAGGTCTGGGCTGTTCATCCTGAACTAAAACCCATGAAAAATGCTGCGGGTCTAGGAGATCCAAGAGCTGAGTCTCCAAGAACACGAAACTCCAACATCCTGGTATGTCAAGGCTTAGGGTTTTAGGGTTTAGGGTTCAGGGTTTAGGGTTTAGGGTACTGCCCCCTTATAGTAAGAGTCTATACTAGGGCTACTATTGAGGTCTTAAGAAACCGATATTATGAATATGATTCAAACATTACTGAATGGGGCCGTACCCAACTTGTATGGCAGACCCGAAACTGGGGACAGCAAAGTTTAAAACAACGAAAAAACCAAAACCTAAGCCCCAAACCTTTCAAGTGGGAAACCATGACAAGGACCCTAACCCTTAACCCTCAACACTAAACCCTCGACCTATGACCCTAAACCCTGAACCCTAAACCCGTAACACTCAACCCGAAAACCCTAAACCCTAACCCGGAAACGTCCTTCGCTGGATCTCGTGCAGGATCCGGATCGGGCACCCAGGTATTCAGTTGCAAAGGGCCTCGTCTTATCAGCTCCGAAGCCTAAGGATGGGGTGTAGTGGCCCAGTTGCCTGAGGGATAAGGGTTTAGGGTTTAGGGTTTAGGGTTGAGGGATAAGCGTGTAACATAGGGGCCTTAGTAAGCTCAACAAGGTTTGGTGCCCATGAAAAAAAAAGAAACCCTATCCCTCCAAGGACCTGATAGTTAGGGCCCTAGACCCCTTAAGGACCCCATAATAAGGTCCCTGGAAGCATAGGGAAACCCCCCAAAATAGTTTTGGTAAACTATTATTTAGGCCCCTATAGCAAGCCTGGAGGAGCCCAGCGCGGGCCCAGTTGCTAGTGAGAAGTCTAACCTGTGTGAATACCCAAAGGCCCCAAAGTAGTTCCTTTTTGGGGTTCGTATATAGAATCCTATAAGGTAGTCCCAAAAAGGAACTACTATGGGGCCTCTGGGCAGATACAGGTTAAACTGCCCCAGAAATAGAAAGGCTACCCGTTCGTCAACTACGTCGCTGCAGTGGTTGCTGATCAAGATTCGGGCTAACGAGGCAAGGCTTGAGAGATAGGGATGCTTGGGGGCAAAGTCCCTGAACGCTGAACTTAACCCAAAGCCCCATAATTAGGGTTGAGGGTTCAGGGCTGAGGGTAGAGGGGTTTAGGGTTCGAGGGGTTTCGGATTTATGACCCAGGGAAGAGGGTATGTAGGCGCCTCAATAAGCAGCATATGGCTTATACTGAGGGGTCTATACCCAGACCTCCGGGAGGATCCAAAAAGTAGATCCCTTAGTGGGGGTTCCTATAAAGTACCCTTAGTAGTATAGGGCCCCAAATTAGGGGATCTAGTTTCTAGATCCTCCCGGGGGTCTGGGTAAGGATTAATGTAAAGCTTACTCGAAGGGCTTGAGCCTGGGGACCTCAACACTTCGAATCGAGGCATGGGGGTACATTATGCTATACTTATTATCCAATCTTATAAAGGAGCCCCAAGGAATAGTGTACGAGAATGTGTGTATCTATGTGTATATATATATATATATATGTACTGTTATATATATATATTTTATATTATATATATATATATATTATGGATAGTATATATACACATTGTATTATATATATATATATATGTACATGCTGATCACTCGAGCCCTGATTGCCTACATTGAAGTCCATACCCGAAACCAAATGTGGCGGCTAGATTGGGATTCGAAAACGAGGAGACCCCCGAGCCCCAAAGCCCCAAAGCTCCGAAACCCAAAGCCCCAAAGCTCCGAAACCCGGAAGACCTGAACCCCAAATCCTAAACCCTAAACTAGAATCTGAACCCTGAACCCTGAATCCTGAACCCCAAACTAGAATCTAAACCCTAAACAAGAATCTAAACCCAGAAGTATAATCTAAACCCTGAATCCTAAACCATAAACTAGAATCTAAAACCTGAATCCTGAACCCTAAACCCTAAACCCGAACCCTAACCTAGAATCTAAACCTTGACTCCTGAACCCTAAACCCTAAACTACAATCTAAACCCTGAATCCTGAACCTTAAACTTTAAACCACTGATAGAGGGATCTTAACAACTACCTTATTATAAGTACAGGCTAGGGTTCCTTTTAAAGGGGTCTCTAAGGGTTACTGTAAGGGCCACTGGAACCCTAAAACCGAAGCCCTGTGCCCTGAAACCTCAACACTCAACTGCTTGCTTCGTCTCAGCCCCCTACAACGGAACCAGCTTGTCTGTGTAATGTAAAGTATATATGCTCTCGTTTGATATGTTAAAACCCTAAACCCTAAACCCTTTTCGGAATGGCTGCGCCTGTTGAGCTGGCACGGAACTCGGACACCCAAAGTCGGATCTGATCCTTCGAACTCGCTCTCTGTTTTAAGGGCTTAGGGTTTAGAGGGTTTAGGGTTTAGGGTCTAGAGGGTTTAGTTTTTTTTTGAACGCCTTTTTCCGCCTTTTTCCGTCTGCCTGATTAGGTGTCAGGCTTTAGGGTTTAGAGGGCCGCGGGCTTTCGGAGAACTCTTCGTTGAGTCCATGCACTCCTTCTTATATCGGACTTTGGGGACGTTCTGGGTACCAAACACCCATAAAGGGAACTCCAGAAAGTTGGAATATGGATTAATGGTAGGATCCCCTAGCTATACTTTACCTTAAAGGGGTTACGATAATGATATTCCAACTTTCTGGCTTCTACTGTACTGCTGATGGACAAAATCCTGCATTACCCCAAGGACCCTGAACTATGGGAATTATGGTATATTCCTTCTTATGGGTAATGCAGGATTTTGTCCATCAGCCGTACTTAAGGACCACGTGGGAGTTTCTGAAAAGAGGGGACCCTGATAGGGTGCCCGATCACTTCTGTCTTTTTTTTGGGTTCACTTGTGTCTTTTTTTTGGGGGTCGCTTGTGTGTTTGTTTTCGGGGTCGCTTCTGTCTTTTTCCTTCTTCGGAAGCAACAGTCTCGAACGAGAGGTGCCTTGGTAGGACCTCACCCCGCTCAGTTTCAGGCTCGGTATACATAAAGTGCAAAGGCAATTAGCTTGCTCCCTTTCTGCGTCCACATGCACATAGACATGCATGCGTACTCTAAAGGGGCATACGTATACCTCTATGTAAACATATACGTATACATAAACACATGCAACTAACATATACGGTTTACTCCTGTTAGGGTTTCGTTCTGGGTTTACTCCTCTTAGGCGTTGGGCCTTCCTTCATTAGGGTTTCGTTCTGGGTTTACTCTTGTTAGGATTTCGTTCTGGGTTTACTCCTCTTAGGGGTTGGGCCTTATTTCATTAGGATTTCGTTCTTGGTTTAATCCTTTTAGGGCTTCGTTCTGGGTTTACTCCTCTTAGGGGTTAGGCCTTCTTTCATTAGGGTTTCGTTCTGGGTTTACTCTTTTAGGGTTTCGTTCTGGGTTTACTCCTCTTAGGGGTTGGGCCTTCTTTCATTAGGGTTTCGTTCTGGGTTTACTCCTTGTAGGGTTTCGTTCTGGGTTTACTCCTCTTAGGAGTTGGGCTTCGTTCTGGGTTTACTCCTTTTTAGGGTTTCGTTCTGGGTTTACTCCTCTTAGGGGTTAGGCCTTCTTTCATTAAGGTTTCGTTCTGGGTTTACTCTTTTAGGGTTTGGTTCTGGGATTACCCCTCTTAGGGGTTGGGCCTTCTTTCATTAGGGTTTCGTTCTGGGTTTACTCCTTTTAGGGTCTCGTTCTTGGTTTACTCCTCTTAGCGGTTGGGCCTTCTTTCATTAGGGTTTCGTTCTGGGTTTACTCCTTTTAGGGTTTCGTTCTGGGTTTACTCCTCTTAGGGGTTGGGCCTTCTTTCATTAGGGTTTCGTTCTGGGTTTACTCTTTTTAGGGTTTCGTTCTGGGTTTACTCCTCTTAGGGGTTGGGCCTTCTTTCATTACGAGTTCGTTCTGGGTTTACTCCTTGTAGGGTTTCGTTCTGGGCTTACTTCTCTTAGGGGTTAGGCCTTCTTGCATTAGGGTTTCGTCCTGGGTTTACTCTTTTAGGGTTTCGTTCTGGGTTTACTCCTCTTAGGGGTTGGGCCGTCTTTCATTAGGGTTTCGTTCTGGGTTTACTCTTTTTAGGGTTGCGTTCTGGGTTTACCACTCTTAGGGGTTGGGCTTCGTTCTGGGTTTACTCCTTTTAGGGTTTCGTGCTGGGTTTACTCCTCTTAGGGGTTGGGCCGATTACTCCTCTTAGGGGTTGGGCCTTCTTTCATTAGGGTTTCGTTCTGGGTTTACTCTTTTTAGGGTTTCGTTCTGGGTTTACTCCTCTTAGGGGTTGGGCCTTCTTTCATTAGGAGTTCGTTCTGGGTTTACTCCTTGTAGGGTTTCGTTCTGGGCTTACTCCTCTTAGGGGTTAGGCCTTCTTTCATTAGGGTTTCGTCCTGGGTATACTCTTTTAGGGTTTCGTTCTGGGTTTACTCCTCTTAGGGGTTGGGCCTTCTTTCATTAGGGTTTCGTTCTGGGTTTACTCTTTTTAGGGTTGCGTTCTGGGTTTACTCCTCTTAGGGGTTGGGCTTCGTTCTGGGTTTACTCCTTTTAGGGTTTCGTGCTGGGATTACTCCTCTTAGGGGTTGGGCCGATTACTCCTCTTAGGGGTTGGGCCTTCTTTCATTAGGGTTTCGTTCTGGGTTTACCCCTCTTAGGGGTAGGGCCTTTCGGGGTCAGGTCCTACCAAGGCACCTCTCGTTCGAGACTGTTGCTTCCGAAGCAAATAAAAGACACAAGTGACCCCCCAAAAAAAAGACACAAGTGAACCCAAAAAAAAGACACAAGTGACCCCCCTTCCCTAATAAAGTACCCTGGGAAGTAGGATCCTTATTATAAGGACCCCAAAGGTATCCCTATTTTTCCGAAGCTCCCATATGGCCCACTGGGGCTTCTTTGTCAGACGTCTAGGGTGTACGGTAGTACCTAGTGCATGACCCTCGAAACTCTTGTGGGATATGAACCATAAACCCAGGTGGGGCCTAGTAACCTAGTAATTCATCAGTTTGAATGCTGTACTGGCGAAGGCTGGTTTCTTTCAGGGCAACAGACAAACGGTAGCTGGCAACGTAGGCCTCAAAACAAGCTCCATCGCCTTTATGAAACTTAATTGAGATCCTAGTTTAGGGTTTATGGTCTTAGGGCTTTACCAAGGCCTGCTAGTGCATTTCTTGTCTGAGAGTGACGAAATTTTGTGGTGACAGGGCAGAACATGTATCCTGGAGAGCTGATACCTCTCACCCTGATCCTAACTGTAGTCATCAGTCTGCGCTAGTCGTAAGAGCCCAATGATTGGCACTTGTTTCGGGTCCCATGTTGACTACCTTGAGGGGCTTCATCAACCCTAAACCCTAACCCCTAAACCCTGAACCCTATACCCTATACCCTAAACCCTAAACCCTGAACCGTAAACCCTATACCCTAAACCCTAACCCCTGAACCCTATACCCTAAACCTTAAACCCTATACCCTAAACCCTAACCCCTAACCCCCAAACCCTATACCCTATACCCTAAACCCTAAGCCCTAAGCCCTATACCCTAACCCATCTTTCACCCATGTCCCGAAGAGATCTGATCCTCCAAGAAGAGGACTTGGGGTAGGGCGCTGGCAGGCGGAAAGACACATGCAAGTGGGTAGTTGTCAAAATTGGGGTCCCTTTTTGTGTCCTTAATACCTTAGGGCACCTCATATTTAGGGCACCCAAAAAGGGACCATAATTTTGACAACTACCCACATGCAAGTGCACATTCCTTCACACATAGAACGCAACAACAGATCTGAAAGCCCCTGAACCCTAACCTAAACCCTACCTGGACCCTTTCAACCCTTCCTGTTTAAAGGGCTCCCTATTATAGTTTCCTTATATAAGGCCTTAGAACGGTAGGTTATTTCGGATTCAGGCAAACCCATTGTTAGGGCCCCAAAAAACACATAAGCAAAAATTAGGGTAGGGATGTCCCATATAATCCCCCTTATAATGAAGCCCATTAAGGCAGGGATATCCCCATAACATGCTTATGCTTATGTGCTTTTTCGGCGCCTAACTATTGTGCCATTGTTGCCATCAAACGGCCGGTCCCATGCCAAGCACGCCGCAGGCCCCGATTCCTCCTCTCAGAGGGGTTCCGGGCTTTTGGGAGTTTCCGAAAATTAGGGGGAACCTTATTGGGGACCTATAATAAGGATCCTACTATTTAGGGTACTATATTAGGGTCCCCCCATTTTGGCAAACTCCCACATTCCGTTTAAGGTTTAGGGTTTGCATATTCCAGGAAGCCTGCCCCAAAATAAAGCGGTGTCAAACACCCTATTGCCTATATCGTGCTGTTGCAGGATAATATTGCTATGAACTGACTATGTTCGTATATGAGCATCTGCATTAGTCTATCAGGCTTGCTGATTGAAGAGTGTGGGAATAGAACTACGTTCGCGTACGAGAGTCAATAGTGCACCTTGCGGATGCGTAAACCCCAAAGCATGATTCCTAAAGAATGTGCCAGACTGCACGTACCCTAAACCCCAAATTGCATCCTTGCAAACATCACTGAAACGGGAAAGTCCTTGCGTTTGTGTGTCGGCAACGACTCTAAACACCAGTCGCAAACGACTTTAAACACCAGACAAAAGCCTTAAGCCACTAAGGTATGTTTAGGGTTTTTTTTTGGGGGGGGGCTCCTTTTTCCAACTGCAGGACTCCACAGGTAGAAGGCCATTCGGCCCGGAGATACAGGGCCACATGTCGGCCCCCAAAAAAACCCTGAGTTGCCACCCTGCACGACGTCATCTTCACCCTTCTCTTTGTCATCACCCTCGTTTAGGGTTTAAGGAATTCCAAGGGTAAAAGGGGGGACCCTTAATAAGGACCCCTAGGTATTATATACCCATCATATAGCCCATTATAGGGTAGGGGTCCCCAGTAAGGGTCCCTCCTTTTCCCCTTTGAGGAATATGTTTCACATTTAGCCTCATCATCCCCAAGCCCTAAACCCTAAACGGATGATCCTTGGAATAAGGATCCGAATGAAGGGGCCTCGAAGCCGCCGAGACGAGATTTCGGGTTTAGGGTTTAGGGTTTAGGAGTTGGGATTCGTAAGGCATAGGGTTCAGGGTATCTAGGGATTTTTTTCGGCGGTTCGCGAAGCCCAAAAGCCCTTCCCTTGAAAGCCTAAACCCCCAAGTCCAAGCCCAAAACCAGAAACCATAAACCCTGTAACCACGAACCCCTAAACCCTGTAACCCCAGACCCCTAAACCCTGTAAACCCCAAACCCCTAAACCCTGTAAACCCCAAACCCCCAAAACCCCAAAACCATAAACCCTGTAACCCCAAACCCCTAAACCCTGAAGCCCAAACCCCAAAACCATAAACCCTGTAAACCCCTAAACCCTAAACTCCAAACCCCAAAACCCTAAACTTCAAACCCCAAAACCATAAACCCTGCAAACCCCAAACCCAACTGTCACAAACCTGCGTTGGAGACGGCGGCAGCCAGAGCAACCTTGCGGATCTTCGGCTGAAGGTATACAGGGCTTCTGGGGCTTGTAGGGATTACCGGGCTTCCTTGGAATTTGGGACTTAGTAAGTAAGGCTTTAAGTACCTTAAATGGGGTTATAAGTTATAGTTACCTTACTTATAACCCTAGTTGCTAAGCCCCATGATCCTCTAAGTAGGGTGTAGCCTTGGGCCCCTACAATATCCCCACACCAAGATGAGCCCCCGACACTCCTCAGGCTTAGGAGAGGGTTCTCTGGATGATGCGTGCAAAAGTCTGCATGAGTACATGGACAGACTACCTAGAGGGTAATACCCTACCCTTTTTTCTAGGTTGCCTAGTTTTATGGTTAGGATCTCCTATATACATGGAAAAGTAGGTACCATAAAAAAAGGGGCAGGGTAGGAGCCTCTATACGTAACGTAGACCCCGGTTGTCATCGACTGCAGAGAATGACAGGGAACCCCGAATTAGACGTGACACAGAGGGAGGTATGTTGCTCATGTGTCGACTATAGCCTTCAACTTCAGTCCTAAACCGTCAGCATAGCCCCCCTCCCACAATAGACATGTGGGCAGTTGTCAAAATGAGGATCCCTTTTTGGGTACCTTGAACATTAGGTGCCGTGTTATAGTAGGGACCCAAAAAGGGACCATAATTTTGACAACCACCCATGTGACAATCTCAGACACTCAAAATGGTCCTCTAAGCCTTGAGAACCCAGAGAGCCCAATACCCTTTAAGTAAGGCAATATAGCTCAAATCACAATGTGAAGCCCCACATAGTTTATGCCCTGTTCCTTACTTAAGGAATATAGATTAAATCATGATATGAAGCCCTACATAATATTTGCCATATTCCTTAATTAGGGGTATTGGGCTCTCTGGATAGATCCTGAGACGCACACCCACAGCCCCGACCCTGCGCCTCCAAACCGATAAACCCCAAACTCGTCAACCAAAGAGCCTGCGAACCCCAAAACTTACCTTTGGTTGGTAGGGAATGGAGGAATGGGGTACAATTATAACTACCATTACTACCATTCTGTCATTCTCTACTGACCCAAGGAAAGAAGATAGAACCCTGAACTCGGAACGGTTTTGGGTTCAGGCGCAGGGGGTTTAGGGCTTAGGACCCTAAACCTAAGCCCTACAAACCCCCTAACTCTTATAAACCACCCCAAAACCCGAGATGCTCCCTTCTAAACCCCAAAGCCCCCCACAGCTTACAACCTAAACCATGAACCGTATAAACCCTCAGACCCGAAACCCTAACCCCACACCCTGCTAACCCCATAAATACCCCAAAGCTCTGAACCCCAAACCCAAACCTTGTAAACGCATACCCAAAGTAGTTCCTTTTTGGGGTTCATATATGGGTGGTTGTCAAAATTGTGGTCGCTTTTTGGGAACCCTTAATATTAGGTGCTGTACTATATTAGGGACCCCAAAAAAGGGACCATAATTTTGACAACCACCCAAAAAGAATCCTACAAGGTAATCCCCAAAAGGAACTACTTCGGGGCCGATAAGCCTCGGACTCAGACGATCATAAGGAAGGGATCTATAGGGTTCCTTAAAGGGATCTATAGGGTTCCTTAAAGGGATCTATAGGGTTCCTTAAAGGGATCTATGGAGTTTAGGGTTTAGGGTTTACTTACCTTTGGTTGGTAGCGAGTTGCCGGGGAGGCACCGGCCATGGGCGCCATCAGCACCGGCAGGCGGAGGCCAAAGGCCTCAAAGTAGGGCCCCAAAAAGCACATAAGCAAAAAATAGGATAGGGATATCCCATATAAATCCCCTTATGATGAAGCCCAATAAGGTAGGGATATCCCCATAAAATGCTTAAGCTTATGTGCTTTTTTGGGTCCCTACAAAGGGGGCGTCGTCGTCTGGTGATAGGGGCGGGGGTTTACTTTCGGGATTAGGACGTAGGGTTTAGGGTATATAGGCTATAGGGTATATAGGGTTTAGGGTATATAGGGTTTAGGGTTAGGGTTTAGGGTTAGAGTTTAGGGTTTAGAGTTTGGGGCTTCATGGTTATGTAGTTGGCAGGGTTTCCGGCGCTCAGGGTTTAGAGTTTGGGGTTTCGTGGTTACGAAAAAAGGGCGTCAGGGTTGTTCAGAACATTCTGCAGGATTTAAAGAGGGGGTGGCACCGCATTCCACTAAGCAGGGTTTAGGTAAAGCTTAGGGTCGAGGGCTTTAGGATCTAGGATTGAGCCGCCCTTGGCGGAAAAATCCAGAAGCTGTCTCCGTGCTGAACTTGGCAACGTCCTCTACCATCATGGTCTTTCATGGTAAGTAGTCATGGGCTTCCGCGAGGTCCACATGGCGTAAGAACTTGTTCGGAACAGCTGGACCCTTTGCCTCGCGAAGCCACAGCACCTCGTCGACATTGACAAGCCAATGTGCTGCGGAGCATAAGATTTCCACAGAGGATCGCCGAGGCTGAGGGCCCTAGAAGGGTCCTGTAAGTGCTCTAGTAGGGTTTCGGGGTATTCGGCTTAGGGTTTACGGTACAGGGCCTTCGAATCCTTAAGCAAATTGAAAAGGATCCCCAGCACGATCCTTACTTAGGGACGGACCTCTGAGTGGCTTGAGAACCCCTGTTGTCAGCTTTGCCTACGGGCCTATATCAAACCTATGTTCATGTAATGTGATGGTAGACGTGCCAGGGACATGTCTAGAACTTCAGGATGCCTATGATAGTTTCCACCAATGCAAGCTCAGGGAAAAAGCAAGGTAAGGGGAAGGAGCGTTGGTTTATCACTGTCTCATACCAGTTTAGCAGAAGAAAACTAATGAGAAGGTTGCATGTAACTTTGAGGTCACTACATAACTATGCCACATAATTTACCCCAAGACTACCCAAAGTCCATGTTCTACTCATGAAGGTCCCCAGATCACACCAGGGATCAACCAACGTCTTGGTCTGCTTCGAACAAGCTCTTCCTGGAAACCCTCGCCCTGCCTTGCGCGGTACAACCGAAAAGCCAACATGGAGGTGGGCGTAACTAGTGAGAATACCCCCTGCCAATGGCCCCTACATAATTAATCACGGTATCAATAATGGGCACCGAAACCCCGTAATGAAAAATGGCATACAAGTTGAATGAATCGGAGGCTTTAAGGTCTGCTTTCCAAGCCCCAGTAGACCAAGAACCTGCCAAGCGCAAGCCACTCCCCCAACACAAAACGAGTCTGTAGGCCGAACATTCTAAGACCTTACAGCCACCTACAACCCTGAACCCTAAACTCCTAAAGCTCAACTTCTAACACAGATGCCCTCACGCCCTACTCAAAGGGCCTACATCATCACCAATACTGTTTTGGGGGATTCCTGATTATACTATTTAACATAATTGGCCCCAAAACCCTATTCTAGTTATATTCACGCCCCTATATTATCCCTTGTATGGCCCCAAAACCCTATTCTAGTTATTAAGGCCCCTATATTATCCCTTATAGTAACCCTTATAGACCCCTTTAAAGGGAACCTTATATTCTAATTATTAAGGCCCTTATAGTATCCTGAAGACACCTCATCCCTAGGCCGCGAGGCCTCACAGAAAGCCTTGGCGGGTGCCAAAACAGGTCGCGACATGGCTGGCGTCGGATCTAGTGGGCACGCCTTTGGTGCCTTTTAGGGTTCCCAGACCTTCCAAAATCCCTTAATTAAGGAATATACCTTAAATCATATCAGGGATCCTATTATAATGTAAGGTATATTCCTTAATTAAGGGATTTTGGAAGGTCTGGGTTTATATAGAGGGTCATACCCTACTCCTTTTTTTTGGGTTACCTAGTTTTATGGTTAGGATCTCCTATACAGAAAAGTAGGTACCTGAAAACGGGGTAGGGTATGAGCCTAGAGGTATGCAGGGTTTAGGGTTGAAGCTCAAGGAAGTTAAAGCTTACACTTCTGGTTACAGTGGCTGAAGGCTTCTTCGGGCACCCAATGCGCACAAGATGTTTCAGGGTCATTGGGAGTTCCATGAGACTCCAAGCATACAAGTGGTACCTACTTCAGGGCCTCAAGCCTAACAATTCTTTAGAATAGTATAGGAGTACCTTATTTTGGGGCCCTTGTAATAAGGATCCTACTATTTAGGGAACTACATTAGGGTACCTGCTTTGGGGCAGCTTTGCGCGTTTTAGGGCCATTGGGGTTTCGGGCGTCCTATAATGAAGCTGCGGCCGGCGATGTCCCGGTTTAGGGTTTAGGGCTTAGGGCGTAGGGTTTAGGGTTTAGGGCTTAGGGTGTAGGGTTTAGGGTTTCAAGGAGCGAAAGCATGGATGCAGCCATCAACGCAGGGCAAGCATGTCGTCGCACTAGGTGACCCCTCCATCGTCCCATTCATCTTGGGGTCTCATGGTAATGTTAATCCCTTCCCCGTTGTTTTTCAAAGCACGTTGGGACGAATCCTCCCGAAATCATTCCTGCCCTTTAAAACCTGTTCTGAGTTGGGGGAGGGTTTCGAGGCTCCAAATACCCGCAGGGCACAGTAAGAGCGAGAGCAACAGCAACAGCGAGAGCAGGAGCAAGAACAAAAGCGGGAGCATCAGCAAGAGCAGCAGCAGGAGCAAAGCAAAAGCCAGAGCGGGAGTAAGAGCAAGAGCAGAAGCAAGAGCGGGAGCAACAGGAAGAGCAGGAGCAGGCGCAGGAGACGCGGCAGAAGCAGGAGCAAAAGCCAGCGTGGGAGCGAGAGCCCGACCCCTCAAAAGTGGCCGTAGAGATAAACATACACCGTAATAACACAAACACTTTCAGAGTGTCTATCGGGGGGCCCCCCCGTTCAATAGTAGGGGAAGGGATTAACCTGAATGCAAAATCCCCATATCATATAACAGCTGAAGCACTGAAACGCTGAAGCCTAAATTGGCAACCTGTGATTCTCCCCGGCTGCCCCCCCCACACACACACACACACACACAGGTCTTCTGCTCCCCAAGGAGATCAACAGTCTGTCATATCTATCAGCGGATATGAGAGGTGCCTAAAAAGGTAATAACAGTAACACTAGCAACAGTATTACTGCAGTGAATAAATACAAAAATTACGACACTGCTCACAATGCGGGATAACAGTATGACTAACAACACTAGTAACTACAGCAATAAGAGTAATAATGACAACCGTAGTGTTGAACGATTCCACTCAATTTATGCTGAAGCCGATGCATGACACCCTGTAGTATAGAAGACCGAACACTATATATATATATATATATATATATAGTTATTTGTATATACACACACATGATTCCTGAGGCTTCCTGCTTGTACAATAAGATAATCCCAAACCTTATTCGAATTAGTATTCCCCCCCTACGACTACCAAGGCTTCTGGCAACTGTCCGTAGCTAGTAGCTCCGAAAAATACAGGGATTGCAGACATCTGTTCATGGAGTCACTTACTACTCTTTGGCCACTTAAACTCGGAATGTATTCAGGGACTTATCTCTCTGTCGTTCATATATATATATATATATGTATATGTATGTATATAAATATATATATATATATATATATATATACGCATACGCATTATCGTCACCTACCGTTCGATATTCTATAACATGGTATACCATATGCTATGATCTTGTGATAACACACTATATGAGAAAATTGCTGCACTATACACTTCTGCACGTCATATATCACAATTGTGCTATGTTGTGCCGGTACAGTATGGTAAGGTCTAGTCTGGTCTAGTAGGAGATAGCAAAAATAGTGTCGTTTTATTGTAAAAGTACTGTGTACTGTGGTATCTTATTATGTTGTATTTTTCCGTGCTGTAGTTAAATTGTATATTCTATTATATTATACAGATACACACGTTGCAGATACATGTACGTATATGCCCGTACATGTATGCATAATCCAGGCACGCCCGAGCCCCAGGGTACACGTAGAGGCAGCCAGCGTCGGATGTGTACGTGTGCATCAGCGGCACCTCGCAGCGGAGGTTTGGGGCTTCAGCGTGATAGGCGTGGTGTTCGGATTTAGGATTAGGATTGCGTAGGGCTTGGGCCTTAGTCAGGGTTTAGGATGGAGGACTTAGGGCTGTTTCTGAGCGCATGTAGGATGACTTTGAGTTCAAACATCTTCCTAAGCGTCGAAAGAAGCGCTTGCCCACGTGTTTGAAAGCCTATAGATCCTTTACAGGAACCCTAAACCCTAAAGCCCTTTATAGAGCCCTTATATAGATCCCTTTAAAGAAACCCTAAACCCTAAGGCCCTTGATAAAATCTGCGGGTCTCTGCGTGACGAATGCCTAGGCTTTACAACGATGCCGCAGGATGCCCTGAGCTTTTTCGCAACCCATACGGGAGTTTCCGAAAATTAGGGATCTATGTAGGATTTAAGGTTTAGGGTTTAGAGCTTCCGAAAATTTTGGGGTACTTTATTTTGGGATCCATATTAAGGATCCTACTAATTTTGGGGGTACCTTATTTTTGGGTCCTTCTAATTAGTAAGGTTCCTACTATTTAGGGTACTATATCAGGGTCCCCTACCATATTGCCATGTAGTTCGGCAGGCGTCCAACTGCCCTGCACCCCAAAACACAAACTCCCGAGCCGCACATCGCTGTTCTCGAACCTGCAGCGCTGAGCCCAACACCCCTAAACAACAAACAGCCCTAAACCCTAAACCCTAAACTCCTTAGCCGTGATCCCTTCAGTTGCTCCGCGTCTGCCTCGTCTAACGGAATCCGCTTTTGCTTCTTGCTGGGCCTTTCCTCCTCCTCCTCCTGCCGTGCCAAGAGAGCTGAGCCGTACCGAAGCAGGGGTTTACGGTTCTTGGTGTCGGAATGCTTAGTCACTGTCAAGATTGGATTGTGGTTTCCATGATGAACATATATAAGTAACCGCAACCTCAGAAAGCATTACTACCAGCGAGTCCGGCATGCACAATGGACCCTAGAAGCCGAGTTGACCGGACAGCCCAAGACGCCGTAGCTGAGCAATGCAATAAATCAAATCTCTGAAAATACCGACTGTCACGACTGCAGGAGGGCGGTAATCTGCGAGGAACTCTCCATGAAGCATAAACGCAAACGGTCTGAAAATGGTGAACAAAGCGCGAAACGCGAACGCTGTATGTAGATGAAGCCTGGCATAAACTCTTCTTGTTGTTCTACCGTAGAAAGGGCCGGTACAAGGCAACGCCCCAGCGACGCCAGCGCACACGCGTGCTCTCGGGAAGACCCTAAACCCTAAACAGGACCCGTGGTAGCCGCATCAAGCACGTGAGGCCAGCATCAAAGGAAAGTGACACTGCCCGACCTACCCACACAGTCTGGGAATCACTGCGGCTTGTTAGCACTGTCAGCCAGAGTCTCGTGACGTCGGGGACTGCGGCTGCGGCCGGCAGCACGGTCCTGTAATGAGCCAGCAGCCTGTCCGGATCCCATGACGCCTGTTTGAAGCTGTTCACGCCAACGCTTGTAGGCTTGCTCCGCAATTTGAGCGGCGTAAAGGAGATCCCCTTCAGTCGGAGAGTCAGACGCAGCTTCAGCTTCATCCGATTGTACGTCTGCACTTGCCAGCTCACGATTCTCAGAAGATAAGGGCAGAGCCAGGGCGATGGAGTAAGCTTCCTTGCATGTCCCTGACTGGGGCAGTGCAAGCGGCGCCTGCGACTGTGACCCCTAAACCCTAAACCCCAAACCCTAAACCCTAAACTCTAAGGGGACTTCCCAGTTTCGGCCTTGGCATCACCACCCATAGGCCCCAAAGATTACCCTATAGGAATCTATAGATGAACCCCAAAACGGAACTTACCCTAATCCTTTTTTAAGGTCACCTAGTTTTATGGTTAGGATCTCTTATAGAAAAGTAGGTACCCTTAAAGAAGGGGTAGGGTATGAGCCTATGGTGGTTTCCTGGAGGCACCCAGTGCCTTTACGCAGCAAAGCCGTGATCACACGTACCTTTCTTGTGCCACTGTGCTCTTCCAATCGCCAAAGCTGGTGTTCCAGGTAGCCAGTGTCTAAAATGGGCAACTTGTTGCGCCGCCCATACTTAGGGGTTGAATAATTACCCTAGCCCAAAAAGGCTTATCTTTTCAATTATGGCAGGGTTAAAGATACCCCAAGGCCCAAGAGGTTAAAAGTTACCTACCCAGCCACGAAGCATAACAGAATGTTAGACAGGGCATCGCGCAAAGCGAAGGAGATGGCCTACACAAGGCCTCGTCTCCGTCTGGAGAGTAATGTGGGGGCCTTACTTGTTGGAATAGGGTTTTGGGGTATATTATTATGCTATATTGTTTAGTAAGGAAGCCCCAAACAGTATATTGGTGATTTTTTACCAAGTCTTGAAGAGCGAAGATAACGAAGCGAAGGGCGGAATTGTTGGTAATTATGTATGCCCGCTATGTTTCCGGCAATCGACACCCTCAACACCACGCCCTAAAGACTGCAGCATCCAACCCGTCGACGCCAAAGGCCGAAGGCATAACCAGAAAGCCTTGTTCCAACCCTTTTCGGGTTTATGCTTCAGGGTTTGCAGTTAAGAGGTTAGGGGTTACAGGGCTTAGGGCTTACAGGTTGGGGTTAATAATAGTAATTGAAGGCTTTGGGGTTTGAGAGTTCAAGGT